AGTGTATTAAAATATAAAATGTATATATTATATATACATATATAAAACCTAAAGTGGTAGTGCACGCCTGTAATCTCAGTACTTGGAAGGCAGAGGCAGATGGATCTCTATGAGTTTGAGGTCAGCCTGGTCTACAAAGCCAGTACAGGACAGCCAAGGCTATACAGAGAAACCCTTTCTCAAAAAACCAAAACCAAAACCAAAACCAAACCCAAGACCAAAACCAAAACCAAAGTTGAGGGCCAAGGCTGCAGCTTAGTGGGGAGTGTTTGGCTAGCATGGTCATGGTTTCATTCCCAGGTACCGAAAGCAAAGCTGAACTAATAATCATTTTCTAGAAGCTGAGTATGGTGGCACATGTCTTCTCAGTTATGAGAGTGATTTGGAGGCCAACAATTTTTTTTCTAAAATCACATTTGGTGGAAAGAGAAATATTTATGATATATTTAATTTAAATATATTTAAAATCACATATAGACCAAATATTTGATGGCTATTTCTGGAAAATAGAGTTATAGGTAATTTTTTTTCTTTGTGATTTTTTTTCACAAATTTAGGATTATAGGAAGGCCACACACTTGGTTTAAATCCTACCCTGACTTTATTTTCACACCTCTCAGAGGTGGAGCAGATGAAGACCTGAGTGAATGCCTGTTGTCGACATGAGTCAAGGTCCCCAGTGCCTCAGAGCCGAGGGGATGGCACAGCCTTGCTCAGGTCAGACTTGGGGAAATAGCAAAGTCATCCCCTGGTCTATGCGCAGATGTGGTAATGACTAGACAGACACAGAATGCTACGTTTACATAGCTCCTGGGATGGCAAGGCACAGACCTTGGTCCTTCAGGTTGTATTTATGAATGTGGGTGCCCCCGTACTGGACAGTGGGGACCCTGAGAAATGTGCTTCTGAAAACCTCCATCGCTACATCTTCCCACTCTGCAAATTTGGGGGACCCATAACTGGTGCAGGCAGCAGGGCTCAGTCATACCAGGCATCTCCCTTTCAAACAGCCAGGCCTGCTCCTGCATATGACTGTCTGAGGGCCATAAAGCTGGAGCCATTATTAAAGGTCAGAGTTCAGCATGGCAGTAATGAGCCATTAAGGATAGACTCAGCAGAGACATGCTTTTAAAGCAGCAGGATCCATAAGCAGCAGGGATTGTTCTGGGTGTTCCTTTCTGGGAAATAACTGTTTTCAACTTGCCTGTGGAGGAGATAGACATCACCTAATAGCGTAGTGCTAGGGAAACATTTAAGGAACGTTTTCTTCACCCTCTGCCCTTAGCAAGCCGCATCCTGAATCTATCCCCCAAACCGCTTGGTGACTCTCACTTGTCAGTCAGTCCTGACTTCAGAAGGAGCTGCACCTGCTGTCTAACCTGACCCTCCATGGCTAATTCTCTCCCTTTAATCCAACTTTAAGCCACTGTGTCTACTGCTTGTTTCCTGCCTCCTGATGTGACACTTACAGCTGTTGCCTTCGCTGATGTTATCATCAGCACCAACGGTTTGCTGAGAGGTGCACCAAATACCTAAGTAAACATGTTTGGGCTGGTCTGGAAATGAAGCTTTTTAAAATCCTGGAATGTTTGACTGTTTCTAACTTGGAAACAGGAGTGGGCAGAGGGGCCACAGAGTGACAAGACTGCTCTACATAAGAACAGCCGCTCAGCTGCCCCCAGCCTCTAAACTTAGAAAGGGAGCTCTTGGAGCTCAAGGGGAAGCCATTGCAGTAGGAACTGGGTATACAGGCATAAGAGTCCCGTGTGTGTGCGTGTGTGTGTACATGAGCATGCATGTGCCAAACCTGCTAGGTCATTTGAACCAAAGGTGAATCTCGATAGCATCAGTAAGGTCACCCCAACTGAGCTGCTACAAGCACTGCTGTGGTGAACACCTCCCACTGCCAGTTTACGGACCTTTAACAAAGATCCTACAAGTTCAGGAAGTACAAAAGGCAGGCTTTTCATGACAGGAAGTAGATGGCCAGTTGGTGGTGACACAAGACCTTACTCCAGGAGTAAAGTAGGGGTAGGAGGCAGAAGCAGATAGAGCTCTGAGTTCAAGGTCAGCCTGGCCTACAGAGTGAGTTACAGGACAGGGGGGCTACACAGAGACAACAGTCTCAAAAAACCAAGAGAGGAAGTAAACAACTCATAAACCTCAGAAGTTCCTGAAACACACCAGATCCACAAGACTTCTCCCTCTCCAGGCTTATCAAAGCAGAAAAGACTAGGAAAGAGACTTGACTTAAGGAGCTGCAAAGCAGGTCGTGCAGAGAGCTCAGCTTTGGTGAGTTGTCGCCCATGCTGTGCTGGATTTTCTGTAATATAACTGAACGTGCGTAACCCATGTTTCTGTAAATAACCACGAAGTTCACTGGTTCACTAAGCTGGACTTACCTGATAGCTACTTGGCTTTGCCCTGGGTAGTTAGATACTTGTTCCTGTATCCCCAAGAACGGCATCACACAACACTCTTCAGACTTGTGCACAGAAAATATGCAAGTGATCGCAAAAAGATCATGAATTAGAAGCTGGGAGAGAAACAGATGTGAGAGGGAAAAAAGAGTAAAGACAGAAAGAAATAGATTGCTAATGAAGTGGTTAGCATGTTAATAGTCAAGTCACCCGAGCAATTTGCTTAAGCAACAAGTAATCTGTAGACCTGAGGGGAGATCCAGGAATGTGGTAGGCTTTCCACATTTTAAGAGCTATTGGAATAGAAAGGGCACAGAACTCTAAAGTGACATGGTGAGGACTGGAGGTAAAGGCATAGCTCTTCTATCATGAGACGCTAACCCTTCTTTGGAGATCTTGCATACAGTCAAAATCTGCTCTCATTACCACTGTGGTGTATATGATAATTCATTATATTCACCTACCTGTAAAATGAGTTCATAGAAGAAAAAAGCTTTTTTATATATCACCAGCAGGCTGGAGAGATGGCTCAGCAGTTCAGAGCACTTTGCTGCTCTTGCAGAAAACCCAGGTTTGGTTCCCAGCACCCACACAGCTCTGAGCAGCCTTCTCTGACACCAGTTCCAAGGGATCCAATGCCCTCTTTTGGCCTCTACAGGCACCAGACACTAATGTAGCACACGCAAGTACATGCAGGCAAACACTCACGCATAAAATAAAATCTAGTAGATTAGAAATAGTGTTTTTGCCACTGTGAGGGATCTGGTTGGTTTAGCTTTTCCTCGGATGATCTGGCTAACATCATCCACCTTCTACCAATCATTAGGCTGAAAGCGAGAACACGGGGCTCCTTGCACTGCGTAGCTCCGAAGTGGCCTCAACACTTTGAGAAAAATGCATATATGAGACCTGTGCTGTGAGAAGTCCCTGGCGCAGCTCATTCTCAGCGGCAGATTCTGGACTCCAGAACGATCTGCAGCCTAAAGTGCCCACAATTAAGGAAAGCCCCAATATGACCAGAGTAAACCCTTGTCTTCATTTTTGTTTTTTCTCATTTCCAGACCATTATGGATTTCAGTTCCCTGGGGGTGGGGTGGGGAGGAATCTCAATCAATTAAAGACTCTAAAGCAACGTTGTCTCACTAGTATTTGACTTGAGCCAAAAATGGATGTTTGGGTATTCGAGTAGATCTGAATAGGAATGCAATTCTTTAAGCCTCAGCAAACCACCTCTGAATCTGGGAAGCTGAAGAAACCAAGGCAGTAGGGATGAAACAAGTTTAAGGTCCAGCCTGGGCTACTCAGCAAGCACAGGGACGACCAGGGCTAGTTGGTTGGACCCTGTCTCCAGCAACGCCCGTAACAAACATTGCATTTTGTAGGGTAAGAAGATGGGTTTTGCCAGTGTGTTTGCTTTTGGGGGACTTCTTTCACGTTCTAGTGCATGGAAAGGGTTAAAGCCTGTGGCGTGATTACTGGACAGCAGCCAAAATATCGAGACACACCAAAGCCCCTGAAAATAAGCACCAAAAGAGATGCACCGAGGCACCTACCGCCTTAGGTTCAAGGCGAGGAAGTGGGAGAGCGCAGAGGGACGTTAGAAAGCTAAGACACACGCTTACTGCAGAGCCCGAACAGGCTGAGAAGTGCCTTTTCCAGACACCCAAAAAGGGAACATGTGTGCCGAGGAGCTGTTTCAACCTGTCCACACCCTAGGCGACTTCCCCACAAAACGGGCAAACCCTGGGCCAAAGCGATTTGCCACGCCTCGCGTCTTTGGCTCCTCGAATCCCAGAGCACACGTCCAACAGGGCTGTTTTAGGAGTGGACACTGCACGGACGCGGATCAAGTTGGGATCGGATCTACTCCGAATCCGCCCGCCCTGCCAGCGGGCTTGGCGACAAGGGTCTGTCTGCAGGTTCGCCAGAGGCCCGCCCGCGTGCCCACTCCAGCCCGTGCGGGGAGGCCCCGCCCCGCCCCGCCCCGCCCCGCGGTGGCTCTCACACGGTTACTTGCGTGACCGACCCGGACCGGGCGGGCTGGAGGACCGCGCGGGAGGAGGGAGCGAGAGCGCGGGGCCCGCCCACTCCTCGCCGCCAGCCTCTGCTCCTCATTGGCCACAGGCCGGAGTCCATCACCCCCAGGTGGCGCTCGGATTGGCGGAAAGCTCACTTCTAGAACGAGGAGGGCAGAGTGACTCCGCGGGTCTCCCGCGGCCCTTTTTCTCCTCCCCCTGCTCAACGTCCACCCACCTCTCCCCACCCCCACCGCTCCCCCCGCCCCGTGCGCCGCTGTGTCCTTAGAAGACTCATTGGGCCAGGGGCGAAGCCAGCGACCCAGCGAGCCCCGCTGTCATTGGTCTACGCGCACGCCCGTCACAGAGGCGCGGCCCGCCACTGGGCGTCCCCGCCGCGCTCCCGCCCCGCCGCCTCCTCCCTCGCGGCTCTCCCCGGCTCTCTGCCCCGCCCGCCCCGCCGCTTCTCCCGGTCAGCTGGGCGGGGACTGCCCTAGGACTCTTTAAAGTCTGTGAGTCACCGCACAACCCATCAGTCCAATTAAATGTCCTGAGCGAGCCGGGCGGGTGGTGCTCCCCGCCGCCGGCTGCCCCTGCCCTCTCGGCGCCCCGCTCTCCATGGCTGGCTGGCCGTACTCCTCCCGGTGCGCCCTCCTCCCGCATCTCGCCAGCCCCGGCAACTTCCCCTCAGCCAGCCTTTGCCCCCAGGCCGCCCCGGCATGGGCTAGACCCCGAGCCGCTTCTCGCCGTCTCCCGTCCGGTCCGCGCTCGGTCTCGCCCCTTTAGCCCGCCTCGCCCGTCCCCGCCGTTCCCCCGACGGTCAGCCCATCCCTCGGTCGGCTTTTCCTCCGCGGGGCAGCGGTGGAGAACCAGCGGGCTCTGTAGGAGCGGGCGCCCCCACCCTGCTCCTCCTCCCGCTCCTCCGCGCTCCCACTCGTCGGGATCCCCGCGTCCCGCACCGAGGGACGCGCCGACCGACGTCCTTTCCCTGCGGCCGTGCGACCCGCCCGGGGGCTGGACCCGGCGCCCACTTCTTCGCAGAAGGTGAGTACAGAGCGGGGTTTTTGGGTGGGGTGGTGTGAAAAACAAACAAACAAACACCCCCCCCCAAAAAAAAAAAAGAAAAAGAAAAAAACAACTGTGGTGGCCAGGCCACTTTGGGGAAGGGCAGGGATCAGGTTAAGGCTGGGGGTTCCCGGGCCGGCGTGGATTTGAGGAGGCGACTCCCTCCTTCCCTGGCTCGCTCCCCCACCCCCTGCTCCCCCCGCCCTTCACGACCTCCTTCTCCCGTCTTGCTGTACATGTGGGCATTGCCAGACTTCCACCAGCGGGGCATTATGCCGCTTGTAAAATAATTGGTGCTGGCATGCTCTCTGTCTTTTGAATGCCTAAGTGAGCAGTGATAGTCAGCTATGTGATCTGATAGACTGAGTGCCCTGCAAAAAGTGCAGAATGCCTAATGGGCACATTTTCCTCCAAATCAAAGTTAACTTTCATTCAATAAAGGCAAAGCCAAAGGTGTTCTTTGATTTGAATGCGTTGGTGATAGAGGAGAAGACTGGTTGCCTGATGGCATTACTTAGTGCTTTTATTTTGAAGCAGTTTTATGGGTTTTCTTCTGAAAAAATGTGCATTCAGTATTAAAGGTTCTGAAGTCTGAACCTGTTGGAAAAGAGCAAGGAAAGATGGGAATCCACCATGATATGTCCGCTTCTGTCCTCTGCTCTAGGGAGGCATTGCAGCGCAGGATTTTGTGTTTTCTCTGTTCTGGACACAGCGTGGAGCTTTGGGGACCGAGGGACAGTTTAGATGTTTCTTTGGCTACACATCTTTTGTGCTCTTGACTATTTAAACAGTGTCATTCTACGGAATTTCTTCAATTTTCAATTTGATTTCTCCATCGTAAGTGCCTCTAAACTACAAATACCAATCCCTACCTTCTTCATGAGAGGCTTACCGTATGGATCTTTAATATTTTATTTTGAGGTAAAAGAATGATAAGAAATGGTTGCTCGAAATTGGTTTCTGACTTTGAATTCAGTAGTTTTAAGTAATATTACCCCCTTGAAATCGAGTTCTGCACTAGTTGTCCACAAGATTTAAATTAGGCCAAACCAAACATGTTTTGAAATATTAAAGTACAGCAAAGGCCTCTTGGTGGTTCATTTTTCTACTTCTCTTTCAGACTAACCAGAATAAGTTGTTACTAAATTTAATTTTAAAGAATAGACTGTTCCTGAACTGAAATCTGCCAACTTGCTACAGAAAGCTTTCTTTTTTAAAGAGCAGAAATGTGGTTATGATCAGCCCAAAGTGGTGAAGTTTCAAAGTGACTTAGACGTAAATGCTGCTTTAAAGAAGTGCTCGTCGCCAGCACCAAGGCCTTCCAGTGTATTTCAGGAAGACTTACGCAAAGCCTTTTTGAATTGTTTAATAAATTTGCCATGTGACTTTTTTCATGAGGGTGAAGCCTCATAGCACAGGGGACCCTGCTGGCTGAATTTGAATTTTGCCACCATAACTCTCCCTCTCTGGCGCTGTGACCTTGGACACATTTCAAATAACCTGAGCTGTAGTGGCTTTTTTGGGTTATTTTTCCAGAAAGACTCCTCTATAAAAGACCTACCCCCGCCAGGGTTAATAGAAGGCTATAATAGACGATAGCATTATAGCATCGTTGGAAGACATGTGCCTGTATTTAAGAGTGAGGGTGGGAGTTGGGAGCTTGCTCAGTTGGTTGTCCATTTTCTGAATTTGGTTCTCAGTACCCACAAAAATGTGGCAGCCTTCCCATAATGCAGCACTGGGAGGTGGTGACAGGGACTTTTGGGGAAAACTAGTTAGTTAGACTAGCCAAATTGGCAAGCTCTGGGTTCAAGCAAGAGACCCCAGCTCATGAAAAGATGAACAAAGAATGAAGCAGAGGTCAACCTTTGACCTCCACACACATAAACATACACATACCATACACACAAGGAAAAAAAGACCTAGGGTTCTGGAACCAGGCTGCTAATGCTCATCAGGAGTTCTGCCAGGGAGGCTGAGGCAGGAGGATGACCTGAGCCCAGGAGATGCAGACCATGGTGGGACTTTTTCTCAAAAAACAAACAAACAAACAAACAAACAAACAAAACAACCAAACAGAGAAACTAAAACAAAATGAAAAGAGAGGCCCCTTGAATCAGGTCCTGTAGGTTCAAGTCTCAGTATTTCCTTTTGTTATTTCTGTGCCCTTGGCCAAGTTAGCGTTAGATATTTCATCTATAAAAAGAATGATAGCAGTACCTACTCTATACTGTTACGATGAGAACAGATGAATTAATACGTGCACAGATTTTGAATTGTGTTTGGTGCGTCTTCCCAAGTTTAGCTCTATCATGTTTCTTGTATACAGGTAATTTTAGAAAAGAAGCGTGTTTCTCTGTTTTGTTTTCCTTATTGAACTAAGGGCCTTGCCTGTGTGAAAGTAAGTGTTCCACTGATCTACATTCTTAGCCTCAGTAGTATGTCCTATATATGTAATTATTGCCATTGGTAAAAGAAGCAGACTTTTATAAATATGCATGATATTTGATACTAGAGTTTCTGTGAAACTTTAAAGAAATTCAGTTATTAGAAGCCAAATATTGTGGCACACCCCTGTAAGCCAGTACACCAGAGACAGAGACAAGAAGATCTCTGCAAGTTTGGAGCCATCTTGGTCTACATATAAAGTTCTGTGCCAGCCAGGACTTTATAACAAGACTCTGTCTCAAAATCCCTTGAAAAGGCTAGAGAGATAGCTCAGTTGGTAAATAGTTTGCCTTATGAGCATGAGGATCTGAGTTAGGGCCCGAGACCCCACATTGAAAATCTGGGTCTGGTGAGTATGCTTGCAAGCCCAGTGCTACAGAAGCATCAACAGGCTGCTGTTCACTGCCCAGCCGGCGTAGCCTACTGGGCAAGTTCCAGCCAGTTCTCACTGGCGTTGTCTTAAAAACAAAGTAGACAGTATCTACACAGTGATACTTGAGATTGTCCTCTGACTTCTGTAGGTATGCGTATTACATGTTCATCTGCACATACATATACCTGCACACAGGAACATGCACACATTCACAGAAGGGAAGGAAAGAAACTTAGTTATTGGGCAAGACATACTGTAATAATCCCGTAACCTTGGCATTCAGGAAGCTTGCAAAATGATCAGAAATTAAGGGCTATCAGGGATTATATAGTGAGACATTGTTTTTGAAAAAATGTCTTTTGGTTTATTGGATGAGTTGAATCCACACTCTTTCACTTTTTTTTTCTTTTTGAGATAGGCTGTCACTCTAGTCCAGGGTAACTTCACACTTATTTAGCCTCTTGAGTGCTAGGATTATAAGTGTGAGACACCATTGTTGGCATTCTTTTATTTAAATTTGCAAAGTAGCATGTATCTACCTCAATTATAACCTTGTTATAGACATCACGTTAATTGTTGTTGTCTGTGGTTTTCTCCCTCACTAAACATAAAGCATGATTTGTCAAGGTAACAGGAGGGTTTCATTCCTGAGTTCATTGCTGGTCCCTAGCAAAGTACCTGGCATATAAAGAAGTAAACAACCATGTGGAATTAATTAATTAAACAGTTTATTTTCACATAGTTTATGAATAGTTGAATGTACATTTTAAGTGTGATACTTAGAGACTACTGTTACTTGCTAAACTGAATTTTTATTTTATTTGCTAGGTATGGTGACTCACATTTTAAATCCCAGTATTCAGGGGGGAAAGAAAAAGAATTTTTACTTTATTTTAGTGCTTAGAGAGTAAATGATGTTTATAACTTATTTTTATTAACAGATTTTTTTATTCTGAAGACTAAATTGAAATAATCTGAAAAAGCACATCTAATATCTTCCTTTGTTACCTGACATGTCCAGGTTTTAATCATAACCCTTTCTGATTTGTAAAGCTTTCTGTCATTAAATTGAATGCTGTTATTCATTAATGTGAACCATACAAATTAGATTTTGAATGTCTCAAATGGTGACAGGATATAATTTTGTGCTTCAGAATTAATAAAGAGAATGTATGAGTCTAACATGGCATCACTCCTCAAAGACTGAAGCTTTGCTTTTTTCATTCAGGAATAAAACTCTTTCCCTTTGAACAGTCCTAATAATAATTAGCTGCTGGGGTGGCTGTAGAAATGGTGTGGTAGGAATAAGAGTGGAGGTATGTGGAATCAACAAATGAAAACATTTTCAAACTTTGCCACATTTTAATAGGCATTGCACAATTGGGAAATACATTTTAAAAAAACAAACAAACAAATTTGATGGGCCTACTACCTTCATTGTTTATAGAAGCTTTTTATTTTACTTGTCAATAAAATGTAGTTTGGTTACTATGCCCACTGAAGTTGTGAAATATATGAATTAAAAGAAGGATCTTTATACAAAATCAGGAGTATGACCGAGTTTTGTAACATTGTTACCTTCTTGGACTCATGAGATAGTACCTATAACAAGGTAATTCTGTGTTCACAATCCTTTGTTTAATCAAATAATGCTACATGGTTTAGTTGACAATATTGCATTTTCATTGGCTAAAATAATCAAATTGTAGAAAACTTGTCTTTCTTTTAAAGTCAGAACCAGTTCTTATGTGTAGCCCAGGCTTTGGCCTTCTGAGTATTTGGATTGCAGCCATGTATCCCATATCCTGCTGTTTGCGTAGGCAAAGGGGCCTCAGAGCCCTGGCTGGCCAGGAACTGTGTGGTCCAGGGTGGTCTGGAGCTCTCTCCCCAGTGCTGGGATTACAGGTGTGAGCTAATACAGCCAGTTAATGTGAACAAAACTTTTAGTAAGAATTTATAGGGTCAGTGAGATGGCTCATTGGGCAAAAGCTCTGATTAGTTGCATCTCTGGGACCCCCATGGTAGGAGAGAACTGACTCTCAAAGATTGTCCTTATGCACACACACACAGACACACTCATACTCACTAGATAGATGATAGACAGATAGATAGATAGATAGATAGATAGATAGATAGATAGATAGATAGATAGGACTTA